TCCCCAGAGCAGAGCGCAGCAGAGGGGCACAATCCCCCCTCGCCCTGCTGGCCACGCTGCTGGGGATGCAGCCCGGGGTGTGGGGGCTTTCTGGGCTGTGATCGCACATTGCCGGCTCATGTCAAGCTTTTCATCCACCCACATTTTCATGACCCCCAGTTATGTCTTACAAATGTCAAAATATCTACGCGCTTGCTTTTTTTTGCCTTCCCCACTGCTTTCTGCAAGCGAAGCCGGCGCTGCGGGCAGCAGAGGAGGACAAGCGTGTGTTTGTCTCCCGCAGGTGAGGAGAGCAGCGGGGAGGAGAGCGGCAGCGGCTGCGAGCTCCAGCAGTGCTCCCCGGAGTTCGAGTTCAATGCCACCGAAGTCACTGGGAACTCCAACAAGAGCGATAAGAACGCGAACACTTCTGCTGCCGCCGCCAGGAGCGGTTTATCACACGCAGCCTTGCTCCTTAGCATTTTCTTCTTGGCCATGCAAAGACAATGGAGATAATTGTGCAGCGTAGGGGTGGGGGGGGAACCAACAAAAAAAGACTTTTATTATCAAAGTTAGAAGGCGCCTGCTTTCACTTTTATACCATCTAGGGACTTTGCTTTTTAAGTTAATGGACAACAGTGTACAGTTTTTACTATGTTGCCACTGGTTTTAAGATACTGATTATTATTCTTTTTGTCCCTTGCTATTCTGGGAATAACAGGAACGGGGACCACCAGTCTGTCCCGTTCACCAAGAGTCCATGTTAGAGTGGATAACAAAAATGTATATACAAGCCTGTAGTTAGCTCTGCATTTGTGTCTTTATCACTTTTCTTTTTTTTTTTTTTTTATTTTATTTTACCATATTTCTTACGAAAACAAAAAAAAAAACCACCCACCTTCTTCTCTTGGCCTGTAACAAGTATGTGTTTCTGAAATGAGAAATATCTGTACAGCAGCAGGTTTTATTTATCACGTTATCTTACGGGGAGAAAAAAAAAAAATAATTGCCCAACAAGCAGAAAACATGTTTCATGTAGTTAACTTCCCATTTATCCACATTATGTTAGTTGCCTTATCTGGAAAGAAGTGGAGGTAATTTGTCTTTATTACGCGGTAAAAGGGAAGGTGAAGGCAGAGCGGGTCAGTGTGCCAAGCGCCCCGTTTGCACAGGGCGTTAATGCCGGGAGCAGCTTGTATTTTTTTTTTTTATTATTTTTTTTTAATTTTTAACAGGAGATTTGGTTAAATTGGAAGAGACTACAGAGAATTCCATCTCTGCAGACGCTAAGGAGAGTTGTCATTTGTTCCCCGGGATCTTTGCAATTAGCTGTAACTCCCCTAGGTCAGTTCCCGACGTGCGTCCCCCGTGGGAATAAGGCATTAAACTTGGTCGGTTGGAAGCGACTTGTCTTCTCGCAGATCCAAATGCCAACCTGTGTCTCGTCTGCAAGTTTGTTAGATGAATGCTGGATTAATTTTTTTTTTTTTTTTCAAATTTCTATTTTGTTGTTGTTTTT